ACATAATTCTGTGTATCGGTTTTTGATTTCGATGAACGGTGTTGCTGTGGTGACTAAAAATAGAAATTTCTGTGAAATTCTTTCAAAATGCTACTCCTCCTACAGTTTTGATCTGATTTCAGTATAAGTTGGCAAACAGGTAGAATACACTAAGATACATAATTCTGTGTATCGGTTTTTGATTTCGATGAACGGTGTTGCCATGGTTACTAAAAATAGAAATTTCTGTGAAATTCTTTCAAAATGCTACTCCTCCTACAGTTTTGGTCTGATTTCAGTATAACTTGGCACACAAGTAGACTACACTAAGAACATAAAGAGACTTTATCAACGATCATTATTCTATGTAATGCTGTTTATAAAGTTTCAAATCCCAGCTGCTTCAGTACTTTCTCTTCCTTTGCTATAAGTTCAAACCAGTAGAGCTTCAGTCTCGACAGAGACTTCTGGTTTATACAGGTTTCATTTCCAAGTAACTTTGAGATTTATGTTGAGCAAATTTGCATGGATGATACATCTTAGGATGCACACTAATGAACTTGCTTCAGATGCTGAATTCAACATACATTTACTAGATAGTGGACCTGGTAAAAGTTATGGGTGCAAGTCTTTTACCAAGAAACTATAAGGCTTATGTAAACTAATATAAACCAAACTTGCACAAATGATGCATCAAAGGATAAAAAAACTCTCAATCTTGCTTCAGATGCTGGATTTTAATTACATTTTCATGATGATGAACTAGTTTGAAGTTTTTATGTAGATCTATTCCATAGTATCAAATCAAAATTGCATAAATTTTGCATTTTTGGATGTTCACTTTTTGTTGGTTAATTGTGTGACTTTGCCTTACTTAAAGACAACATTCATTGAGGTGAGCTCTGTAATCTCCGATTACCTATGTTTTTATTGACCTGGTTAATCGGTATAGATTTTTTAAATTTATAATACAAAATTTTATTCACACAAAGTGAATAGGATTAGGCAGCAGGCAAAGCCTATGGTAGCCCTCTCCTAATTTGGAGTAGAGTTATATCTATAATACTGGAATAATACTCATAGAAAAGGTACCTTAATATCTCTTACTTTACATCATCACCAGTCTAGGAGTATTTCTATTATGTAGGCATTTCAAGTGCTGCTAGGGTTTGCTGTTATGAACAATAACTCACTGATGAAACTTGTTTAGAGCAGGCCCGAGGTATCCAACTGTTTACATCCAAGTCAGTTTTTAGCATTTCCAAAATGTTTCTTTGATGTCAGTAGAATCCAGTGGTTTTAAAATTTAGCACCAATGTTAAACTTATTTACTTTATATTTGCGGACACCGTATATATAACGACATGTTTAAAATCTTTAATGAAAATAAAAAGTGAAATCTACCCTCCTTCTTAGTTCTAAACTGATTAAATTTTTACACTCGGTTGTAATTCCCCTTTGTGTTTAGTAACACAAATAAGATAATCAATTGTTGCATTTACTTGTAAAAATATATTTTTTTATATTGGAAGCGCAAAAGAGCACACACAAAAAACATGACATTGTATTTTTATTCTTCACAACAGTATTAACTCTTGGTTGACGGCACATGACCGGATGTTTACACAAATGTGGTTTTCAAGCCAACTCATATAAATTTGAAGGGTAGCGAAAATAAAATAAATTTCCTCTATGAGTTTTAAAAGGCGGTCAAATAGGTTCATTTTGACATCACCTGTTGAGTTAATTTTTTCTATAGCTTTTACTGCAGTTGAAATGTTTTTTTTAGCTCACCTGAGCCGAAGGCTCAAGTGAGCTTTTCTGATCACATTTTGTCCGTCGTCCGTTGATTGAATGTCCGTCCGTCCGTCTGTCCGTCTGTCTGTCCGTCTGTAAACTTTTCACATTTTCGACTTCTTCTCAAGAACCACTGGGCCAATTTTGACCAAATTTGGTACAAAGCATCCTTGGGTGAAGGGAAATTTAAATTGTAAAAATGAAGGGACATATCCCCTCGCAAGGGGAGATAATCAAGAAAAGACAAAAATAGGGTGGGGTCATTAAAAAATCTTCTTCTCAAGAACCACTGGGCCAGAAAAGCTGAAACTTATGTGGAAGCATCCTGGGGTAGTGTAGATTCTAAATTGTTCAAATCATGACCCCCGGGGGAAGGGCGGGGCCACAATGGGGAATCAAAGTTTTATATAGAAATTTTATAGGAAAATCTTTGAAAATCTACTTCTCAAGAACCACTGGGCCAGAAAAGCTGAAACTTATGTGGAAGCATCCTGGTATAGTGTAGATTCTAAATTGTTCAAATAATGACCCCCGGGGGAAGTGTGGGGCCACAATGGGGAATCAAAGTTTTATATAGAAATATATAGGAAAAATCTTTGAAAATCTTCTTCTCAAGAACCACTGGACCAGAAAAGCTGAAACTTACGTGGAAGCATCCTGGGGTAGTGTAGATTCTAAATTGTTCAAATCATGACCCCCGGGGAAACGCCATGTGTTTTAACAATCTAAAAGTATTTTTCTTTGGTAGGGGCCACAATGGGGAATCAAAGTTTTATATAGAAATTTTATAGGAAAATCTTTGAAAATCTTCTTCTCAAGAACCACTGGGCCAGAAAAGTTGAAACTTATGTGGAAGCATCCTAGGGTAGTGTAAATTCTAAATTGTTCAAATAATGACCCCCGGGGGAAGTGTGGGGCCACAATGGGGAATCAAAGTTTTATATAGAAATATATAGGAAAAATCTTTGAAAATCTTCTTCTCAAGATCCACTGGGCCAGAAAAGCTGAAACTTATGTGGAAGCATCCTGGTATAGTGTAGATTCTAAATTGTTCAAATAATGACCCCCCGGGGGAAGGGTGGGGCCACAATGGGGAATCAAAGTTTTACATAGAAATAGATAGGAAAAATCTTTGAAAATCTTCTTCTCAAGAACCACTGGGCCAGTAAAGCTGAAACTTATATGGAAGCATCCTGGTAAAGTGTAGATTCTAAATTGTTCAGATCATGACCCCCGGGGGAAGGGCGGGGCCACAATGGGGAATCAAAATTTTATATAGGAATTTTATAGGAAAATCTTTGAAAATCTTCTTCTCAAGAACCACTGGGCCAGAAAAGCTGAAACTTATGTGGAAGCATCCTGGTATAGTGTAGATTCTAAATTGTTCAAATAATGACCCCCGGGGGAAGTGTGGGGCCACAATGGGGAATCAAAGTTTTATATAGAAATATATAGGAAAAATCTTTGAAAATCTTCTTCTCAAGAACCACTGGGCCAGAAAATGAAACTTATGTGGAAGCATCCTGGTATAGTGTAGATTCTAAATTGTTCAAATAATGACTCCCGGGGGAAGGGTGGGGCCACAATGGGGAATCAAAGTTTTACATAGAAATAGATAGGAAAAATCTTTGAAAATCTTCTTCTCAAGAACCACTGGGCCAGAAAAGCTGAAACTTATGTGGAAGCATCCTGGTATAGTGTAGATTTAAATTGTTCAAATAATGACCCCCGGGGGAAGTGTGGGGCCACAATGGGGAATCAAAGTTTTATATAGAAATATATAGGAAAAATCTTTGAAAATCTTCTTCTCAAGAACCACTGGGCCAGAAAAGCTGAAACTTATGTGTAAGCATCCTGGTATAGTGTAGATTCTAAATTGTTCAAATAATGACTCCCGGGGGAAGGGTGGGGCCACAATGGGGAATCAAAGTTTTACATAGAAATAGATAGGAAAAATATTTGAAAATCTTCTTCTCAAGAACCACTGGGCCAGAAAAGCTGAAACTTATGTGGAAGCATCCTGGGGTAGTGTAGATTCTAAATTGTTCAAATCATGACCCCCGGGGGAAGGGCGGGGCCACAATGGGGAATCAAAGTTTTATTTAGAAATTTTATAGGAAAATCTTTGAAAATCTTCTTCTCAAGAACCACTGGGCCAGAAAAGCTGAAACTTATGTGGAAGCATCCTGGTATAGTGTAGATTCTAAATTGTTCAAATAATGACCCCCGGGGGAAGGGCGGGGCCACAATGGGGAATCAAAGTTTTATATATAGAAATATATAGGAAAAATCTTTGAAAATCTTCTTCTCAAGAACCACTGGGCCAGAAAAGCTGAAACTTATGTGGAAGCATCCTGGTATAGTGTAGATTCTAAATTGTTCAAATAATGACCCCCGGGGGAAGGATGGGGCCACAATGGGGAATCAAAGTTTTACATAGAAATAGATAGGAAAAATCTTTGAAAATCTTCTTCTCAAGATCCACTGGGCCAGAAAAGCTGAAACTTATGTGGAAGCATCCTGGTATAGTGTAGATTCTAAATTGTTCAAATAATGACCCCCAGGAAGGGTGGGGCCACAATGGGGAATCAAAGTTTTACATAGAAATAGATAGGAAAAATCTTTGAAAATCTTCTTCTCAAGAACCACTGGGCCAGTAAAGCTGAAACTTATATTGAAGCATCCTGGTAAAGTGTAGATTCTAAATTGTTCAGATCATGACCCCAGTGGGGAAGGGTGGGGCCACAATGTTAAATCAAAGTTTTACATAGAAATATATAGGAAAAATCTTTGAAAATCTTCTTTCAAGAACCACTGGGCCAGTAAAGCTGAAACTTATATTGAAGCATCCTGGTATAATGTAGATTCTAAATTGTTCAAATGATGACCCCTTTGTGTTTAGGGGAAGATAATCAATTGGGGCCACAATGGGGAATCAAAGTTTTATATAGAAATATACAGGAAAAATCTTTGAAAATCTTCTTCTCAAGAACCACTGGGCCAGAAAAGCTGAAACATATGTGCCCATGGAAGGATCATGGGGTAGTGTAGATTTCAAAATGTCTAAATTATGATCAGTGGGGTAGGGTGGGGATGCATTATGTATAACAAGGGTGAAATCGGGTAAAGAACAGAATGGTCAAAGCTTCTCAGGTGAGCGATGTGGCCCATGGGCCTCTTGTTTTTCTTTTTCAGCTCTGAACTTTGGCTTCAAATTTTAATTTATGCCTCTGCTGTTATCGGGCAGTAAGCCTGAAAAATCTAATCAAATAAACATATTCATATAAATTATAAAGCGTTCATGTAGAAAGTGCGTTTCGAAGTTTGCTTTTAAGGATAAGCTATGCTAAACATATAATATTTAGTAAAAAATAATTCCTACGTTCGGGTTTTTTTTTCGACGCCGCCATATCGAAACACTAGTAATCCTACTGTATGGCTGGGTTAGCTTGGGTAGAGTTCATAAGGTCATATGACGTATTTTGAGAAGTAATTATGGTCGTTCGATTGAAACTCAAGTAACTCGAGTACGTACTCGGTTAAGAATCGAAGTCGCCCAATATGGTCTGTTCCCCATTCATTTGACCCTGTTATTTCAGGTAGAGTGAAGGCATTCTCCTTCTTTTGTTCAACACCTTTGTGTACAAAACAATTGTAAGGAACCCTTTTGTGTGCATAACAATACCAATGCTGAAGCAGCCTATATGTCATTCCTATAAACGATAACTCATAAATCTGCACTTAGTTGATCATTTTTCACACCTGAGTTACCTGTCCTTAAAACACAACATCGTAAAAGTCAGTTATGAATTATTAAAAATTTTAATGATTTAATTAAAAGTATGCATAAGTTATTATCTTTTTTGATATTTTCATGTATCTATAAATCTATCTATGCAATGTTTTTTACCATATGTGCAACTTTAAAAAATTAGTTGAAAGGCCTATATTATGGTCTTAAGAACACCAAAAGAATGATTGTTCATATTTATGAGATAGCATCCTAAGGTGGTGCAGATTCAAAGAATTTTATGCGGTAATAACCAATATTTGCCCCCCAAATCAAACTTTGATGGAGATAAATTAAATTAAGTTCTTAAACAGGGGAGTATATGCTGACTTCAAAGCACTGAATATTTTCATAAGTAATGACGCCATATGTATGTAATGACGTCACAAACATGACGTAAATTTCAGTTTTTTTTTTAATTTTACAGACTTGGTACAATGCAGGAGCACCCAGCCAGCCGCCAGCCAGCCAGCCACAGATGAAGAGGAAGGAGCCCATTGCCCAGCTTTGATCCCAAAAGCAGTCAAGCAGAGAAGAGGAGGTAAGATTCACAGTGTATATCTTACAGCCTTTTGTGACCTTGACCTTGCCAAATGATGTTGACCGTATGAATATTTGACCTCTTGACTTGCCATTGACAGGGTGCGCAGCAAGCAGCAGAGCCCAGCCCAGCCCTTCGCAGCCCAGCCCTGGATCCAGCGCAGCCCACTCCAGCCAGCCCATCTCACCAGGAGATCCAGTGCCGCGACCAGGCAGCCTAACAGAGAAGCATTTTGAATTTATTTCTTTCCTTCAGTCTCTTCTCTATCTTCTTAGCACTTTCCTATTCTAACACAACTAACCATTCCCTACCCCTTAACATTGATTTTGTTGTAATTTCCTTGAATTTGTGTGCTTTTGTTTTATTGTTTTGAATTTTTACTAATCTCGTCTCAGTTGTATATTTTCAGGCACTCGGACGTGGTACAACGCAGGAGCACCCAGCCAGCCGCCAGCCAACCAGCCAGCCAGCCACAGATGAAGAGCCCATTGCCCAGCTTTGATCCCAAAAGCAGTCAAGCAGAGAAGAGGAGGTAAGATTCACAGTGTATATCTTACAGCCTTTTGTGACCTTGACCTTGCCAAATGATGTTGACCGTATGAATATTTGACCTCTTGACTTGCAATTGACAGGGTGCGCAGCAAGCAGCAGAGCCCAGCCCAGCCCTTCGCAGCCCAGCCCTGGATCCAGCGCAGCCCACTCCAGCCAGCCCATCTCACCAGGAGATCCAGTGCCGCGACCAGGCAGCCTAACAGAGAAGCATTTTGAATTTATTTCTTTCCTTCAGTCTCTTCTCTATCTTCTTAGCACTTTCCTATTCTAACACAACTAACCATTCCCTACCCCTTAACATTGATTTTGTTGTAATTTCCTTGAATTTGTGTGCTTTTGTTTCATTGTTTTGAATTTTTACTAATCTCGTCTCAGTTGTATATTTTCAGGCACTCGGACGTGGTACAACGCAGGAGCACCCAGCCAGCCGCCAGCCAACCAGCCAGCCAGCCACAGATGAAGAGGAAGGAGCCCATTGCCCAGCTTTGATCCCAAAAGCAGTCAAGCAGAGAAGAGGAGGTAAGATTCACAGTGTATATCTTACAGCCTTTTGTGACCTTGACCTTGCCAAATGATGTTGACCTTATCAATATTTGACCTCTTGACTTGCAATTGACAGGGTGCGCAGCAAGCAGCAGAGCCCAGCCCAGCCCTTCGCAGCCCAGCCCTGGATCCAGCGCAGCCCACTCCAGCCAGCCCATCTCACCAGGAGATCCAGTGCCGCGACCAGGCAGCCTAACAGAGAAGCATTTTGAATTTATTTCTTTCCTTCAGTCTCTTCTCTATCTTCTTAGCACTTTCCTATTCTAACACAACTAACCATTCCCTACCCCTTAACATTGATTTTGTTGTAATTTCCTTGAATTTGTGTGCTTTTGTTTCATTGTTTTGAATTTTTACTAATCTCGTCTCAGTTGTATATTTTCAGGCACTCGGACGTGGTACAACGCAGGAGCACCCAGCCAGCCGCCAGCCAACCAGCCAGCCAGCCACAGATGAAGAGGAAGGAGCCCATTGCCCAGCTTTGATCCCAAAAGCAGTCAAGCAGAGAAGAGGAGGTAAGATTCACAGTGTATATCTTACAGCCTTTTGTGACCTTGACCTTGCCAAATGATGTTGACCGTATCAATATTTGACCTCTTGACTTGCAATTGACAGGGTGCGCAGCAAGCAGCAGAGCCCAGCCAAGCCCTTCGCAGCCCAGCCCTGGATCGCAGCGCAGCCCACTCCAGCCAGCCCATCTCACCAGGAGATCCAGTGCCGCGACCAGGCAGCCTAACAGAGAAGCATTTTGAATTTATTTCTTTCCTTCAGTCTCTTCTCTATCTTCTTAGCACTTTCCTATTCTAACACAACTAACCATTCCCTACCCCTTAACATTGATTTTGTTGTAATTTCCTTGAATTTGTGTGCTTTTGTTTCATTGTTTTGAATTTTTACTAATCTCGTCTCAGTTGTATATTTTCAGGCACTCGGACGTGGTACAACGCAGGAGCACCCAGCCAGCCGCCAGCCAACCAGCCAGCCAGCCACAGATGAAGAGGAAGGAGCCCATTGCCCAGCTTTGATCCCAAAAGCAGTCAAGCAGAGAAGAGGAGGTAAGATTCACAGTGTATATCTTACAGCCTTTTGTGACCCTGACCTTGCCAAATGATGTTGACCTTATCAATATTTGACCTCTTGACTTGCAATTGACAGGGTGCGCAGCAAGCAGCAGAGCCCAGCCCAGCCCTTCGCAGCCCAGCCCTGGATCCAGCGCAGCCCACTCCAGCCAGCCCATCTCACCAGGAGATCCAGTGCCGCGACCAGGCAGCCTAACAGAGAAGCATTTTGAATTTATTTCTTTCCTTCAGTCTCTTCTCTATCTTCTTAGCACTTTCCTATTCTAACACAACTAACCATTCCCTACCCCTTAACATTGATTTTGTTGTAATTTCCTTGAATTTGTGTGCTTTTGTTTCATTGTTTTGAATTTTTACTAATCTCGTCTCAGTTGTATATTTTCAGGCACTCGGACGTGGTACAACGCAGGAGCACCCAGCCAGCCGCCAGCCAACCAGCCAGCCAGCCACAGATGAAGAGGAAGGAGCCCATTGCCCAGCTTTGATCCCAAAAGCAGTCAAGCAGAGAAGAGGAGGTAAGATTCACAGTGTATATCTTACAGCCTTTTGTGACCTTGACCTTGCCAAATGATGTTGACCGTATGAATATTTGACCTCTTGACTTGCAATTGACAGGGTGCGCAGCAAGCAGCAGAGCCCAGCCCAGCCCTTCGCAGCCCAGCCCTGGATCCAGCGCAGCCCACTCCAGCCAGCCCATCTCACCAGGAGATCCAGTGCCGCGACCAGGCAGCCTAACAGAGAAGCATTTTGAATTTATTTCTTTCCTTCAGTCTCTTCTCTATCTTCTTAGCACTTTCCTATTCTAACACAACTAACCATTCCCTACCCCTTAACATTGATTTTGTTGTAATTTCCTTGAATTTGTGTGCTTTTGTTTCATTGTTTTGAATTTTTACTAATCTCGTCTCAGTTGTATATTTTCAGGCACTCGGACGTGGTACAACGCAGGAGCACCCAGCCAGCCGCCAGCCAACCAGCCAGCCAGCCACAGATGAAGAGGAAGGAGCCCATTGCCCAGCTTTGATCCCAAAAGCAGTCAAGCAGAGAAGAGGAGGTAAGATTCACAGTGTATATCTTACAGCCTTTTGTGACCTTGACCTTGCCAAATGATGTTGACCGTATGAATATTTGACCTCTTGACTTGCAATTGACAGGGTGCGCAGCAAGCAGCAGAGCCCAGCCCAGCCCTTCGCAGCCCAGCCCTGGATCCAGCGCAGCCCACTCCAGCCAGCCCATCTCACCAGGAGATCCAGTGCCGCGACCAGGCAGCCTAACAGAGAAGCATTTTGAATTTATTTCTTTCCTTCAGTCTCTTCTCTATCTTCTTAGCACTTTCCTATTCTAACACAACTAACCATTCCCTACCCCTTAACATTGATTTTGTTGTAATTTCCTTGAATTTGTGTGCTTTTGTTTCATTGTTTTGAATTTTTACTAATCTCGTCTCAGTTGTATATTTTCAGGCACTCGGACGTGGTACAACGCAGGAGCACCCAGCCAGCCGCCAGCCAACCAGCCAGCCAGCCACAGATGAAGAGGAAGGAGCCCATTGCCCAGCTTTGATCCCAAAAGCAGTCAAGCAGAGAAGAGGAGGTAAGATTCACAGTGTATATCTTACAGCCTTTTGTGACCTTGACCTTGCCAAATGATGTTGACCGTATGAATATTTGACCTCTTGACTTGCAATTGACAGGGTGCGCAGCAGCAGCAGAGCCCAGAGCCCAGCCCAGCCCTGGATCCAGCGCAGCCCACTCCAGCCAGCTCATCTCACCAGAAGATCCAGTGCCGCGACCAGGCAGCCTAACAGAGAAGCATTTTGAATTTATTTCTTTCCTTCAGTCTCTTCTCTATCTTCTTAGCACTTTCCTATTCTAACACAACTAACCATTCCCTACCCCTTAACATTGATTTTGTTGTAATTTCCTTGAATTTGTGTGCTTTTGTTTCATTGTTTTGAATTTTTACTAATCTCGTCTCAGTTGTATATTTTCAGGCACTCGGACGTGGTACAACGCAGGAGCACCCAGCCAGCCGCCAGCCAACCAGCCAGCCAGCCACAGATGAAGAGGAAGGAGCCCATTGCCCAGCTTTGATCCCAAAAGCAGTCAAGCAGAGAAGAGGAGGTAAGATTCACAGTGTATATCTTACAGCCTTTTGTGACCTTGACCTTGCCAAATGATGTTGACCGTATCAATATTTGACCTCTTGACTTGCAATTGACAGGGTGCGCAGCAAGCAGCAGAGCCCAGCCCAGCCCTTCGCAGCCCAGCCCTGGATCCAGCGCAGCCCACTCCAGCCAGCCCATCTCACCAGGAGATCCAGTGCCGCGACCAGGCAGCCTAACAGAGAAGCATTTTGAATTTATTTCTTTCCTTCAGTCTCTTCTCTATCTTCTTAGCACTTTCCTATTCTAACACAACTAACCATTCCCTACCCCTTAACATTGATTTTGTTGTAATTTCCTTGAATTTGTGTGCTTTTGTTTCATTGTTTTGAATTTTTACTAATCTCGTCTCAGTTGTATATTTTCAGGCACTCGGACGTGGTACAACGCAGGAGCACCCAGCCAGCCGCCAGCCAACCAGCCAGCCAGCCACAGATGAAGAGGAAGGAGCCCATTGCCCAGCTTTGATCCCAAAAGCAGTCAAGCAGAGAAGAGGAGGTAAGATTCACAGTGTATATCTTACAGCCTTTTGTGACCTTGACCTTGCCAAATGATGTTGACCGTATGAATATTTGACCTCTTGACTTGCAATTGACAGGGTGCGCAGCAAGCAGCAGAGCCCAGCCCAGCCCTTCGCAGCCCAGCCCTGGATCCAGCGCAGCCCACTCCAGCCAGCCCATCTCACCAGGAGATCCAGTGCCGCGACCAGGCAGCCTAACAGAGAAGCATTTTGAATTTATTTCTTTCCTTCAGTCTCTTCTCTATCTTCTTAGCACTTTCCTATTCTAACACAACTAACCATTCCCTACCCCTTAACATTGATTTTGTTGTAATTTCCTTGAATTTGTGTGCTTTTGTTTCATTGTTTTGAATTTTTACTAATCTCGTCTCAGTTGTATATTTTCAGGCACTCGGACGTGGTACAACGCAGGAGCACCCAGCCAGCCGCCAGCCAACCAGCCAGCCAGCCACAGATGAAGAGGAAGGAGCCCATTGCCCAGCTTTGATCCCAAAAGCAGTCAAGCAGAGAAGAGGAGGTAAGATTCACAGTGTATATCTTACAGCCTTTTGTGACCTTGACCTTGCCAAATGATGTTGACCGTATGAATATTTGACCTCTTGACTTGCAATTGACAGGGTGCGCAGCAAGCAGCAGAGCCCAGCCCAGCCCTTCGCAGCCCAGCCCTGGATCCAGCGCAGCCCACTCCAGCCAGCCCATCTCACCAGGAGATCCAGTGCCGCGACCAGGCAGCCTAACAGAGAAGCATTTTGAATTTATTTCTTTCCTTCAGTCTCTTCTCTATCTTCTTAGCACTTTCCTATTCTAACACAACTAACCATTCCCTACCCCTTAACATTGATTTTGTTGTAATTTCCTTGAATTTGTGTGCTTTTGTTTCATTGTTTTGAATTTTTACTAATCTCGTCTCAGTTGTATATTTTCAGGCACTCGGACGTGGTACAACGCAGGAGCACCCAGCCAGCCGCCAGCCAACCAGCCAGCCAGCCACAGATGAAGAGGAAGGAGCCCATTGCCCAGCTTTGATCCCAAAAGCAGTCAAGCAGAGAAGAGGAGGTAAGATTCACAGTGTATATCTTACAGCCTTTTGTGACCTTGACCTTGCCAAATGATGTTGACCGTATCAATATTTGACCTCTTGACTTGCAATTGACAGGGTGCGCAGCAAGCAGCAGAGCCCAGCCCAGCCCTTCGCAGCCCAGCCCTGGATCCAGCGCAGCCCACTCCAGCCAGCCCATCTCACCAGGAGATCCAGTGCCGCGACCAGGCAGCCTAACAGAGAAGCATTTTGAATTTATTTCTTTCCTTCAGTCTCTTCTCTATCTTCTTAGCACTTTCCTATTCTAACACAACTAACCATTCCCTACCCCTTAACATTGATTTTGTTGTAATTTCCTTGAATTTGTGTGCTTTTGTTTCATTGTTTTGAATTTTTACTAATCTCGTCTCAGTTGTATATTTTCAGGCACTCGGACGTGGTACAACGCAGGAGCACCCAGCCAGCCGCCAGCCAACCAGCCAGCCAGCCACAGATGAAGAGGAAGGAGCCCATTGCCCAGCTTTGATCCCAAAAGCAGTCAAGCAGAGAAGAGGAGGTAAGATTCACAGTGTATATCTTACAGCCTTTTGTGACCTTGACCTTGCCAAATGATGTTGACCGTATCAATATTTGACCTCTTGACTTGCAATTGACAGGGTGCGCAGCAAGCAGCAGAGCCCAGCCCAGCCCTTCGCAGCCCAGCCCTGGATCCAGCGCAGCCCACTCCAGCCAGCCCATCTCACCAGGAGATCCAGTGCCGCGACCAGGCAGCCTAACAGAGAAGCATTTTGAATTTATTTCTTTCCTTCAGTCTCTTCTCTATCTTCTTAGCACTTTCCTATTCTAACACAACTAACCATTCCCTACCCCTTAACATTGATTTTGTTGTAATTTCCTTGAATTTGTGTGCTTTTGTTTCATTGTTTTGAATTTTTACTAATCTCGTCTCAGTTGTATATTTTCAGGCACTCGGACGTGGTACAACGCAGGAGCACCCAGCCAGCCGCCAGCCAACCAGCCAGCCAGCCACAGATGAAGAGGAAGGAGCCCATTGCCCAGCTTTGATCCCAAAAGCAGTCAAGCAGAGAAGAGGAGGTAAGATTCACAGTGTATATCTTACAGCCTTTTGTGACCTTGACCTTGCCAAATGATGTTGACCGTATGAATATTTGACCTCTTGACTTGCAATTGACAGGGTGCGCAGCAAGCAGCAGAGCCCAGCCCAGCCCTTCGCAGCCCAGCCCTGGATCCAGCGCAGCCCACTCCAGCCAGCCCATCTCACCAGGAGATCCAGTGCCGCGACCAGGCAGCCTAACAGAGAAGCATTTTGAATTTATTTCTTTCCTTCAGTCTCTTCTCTATCTTCTTAGCACTTTCCTATTCTAACACAACTAACCATTCCCTACCCCTTAACATTGATTTTGTTGTAATTTCCTTGAATTTGTGTGCTTTTGTTTCATTGTTTTGAATTTTTACTAATCTCGTCTCAGTTGTATATTTTCAGGCACTCGGACGTGGTACAACGCAGGAGCACCCAGCCAGCCGCCAGCCAACCAGCCAGCCAGCCACAGATGAAGAGGAAGGAGCCCATTGCCCAGCTTTGATCCCAAAAGCAGTCAAGCAGAGAAGAGGAGGTAAGATTCACAGTGTATATCTTACAGCCTTTTGTGACCTTGACCTTGCCAAATGATGTTGACCGTATGAATATTTGACCTCTTGACTTGCAATTGACAGGGTGCGCAGCAAGCAGCAGAGCCCAGCCCAGCCCTTCGCAGCCCAGCCCTGGATCCAGCGCAGCCCACTCCAGCCAGCTCATCTCACCAGGAGATCCAGTGCCGCGACCAGGCAGCCTAACAGAGAAGCATTTTGAATTTATTTCTTTCCTTCAGTCTCTTCTCTATCTTCTTAGCACTTTCCTATTCTAACACAACTAACCATTCCCTACCCCTTAACATTGATTTTGTTGTAATTTCCTTGAATTTGTGTGCTTTTGTTTCATTGTTTTGAATTTTTACTAATCTCGTCTCAGTTGTATATTTTCAGGCACTCGGACGTGGTACAACGCAGGAGCACCCAGCCAGCCGCCAGCCAACCAGCCAGCCAGCCACAGATGAAGAGGAAGGAGCCCATTGCCCAGCTTTGATCCCAAAAGCAGTCAAGCAGAGAAGAGGAGGTAAGATTCACAGTGTATATCTTACAGCCTTTTGTGACCTTGACCTTGCCAAATGATGTTGACCGTATCAATATTTGACCTCTTGACTTGCAATTGACAGGGTGCGCAGCAAGCAGCAGAGCCCAGCCCAGCCCTTCGCAGCCCAGCCCTGGATCCAGCGCAGCCCACTCCAGCCAGCCCATCTCACCAGGAGATCCAGTGCCGCGACCAGGCAGCCTAACAGAGAAGCATTTTGAATTTATTTCTTTCCTTCAGTCTCTTCTCTATCTTCTTAGCACTTTCCTATTCTAACACAACTAACCATTCCCTACCCCTTAACATTGATTTTGTTGTAATTTCCTTGAATTTGTGTGCTTTTGTTTCATTGTTTTGAATTTTTACTAATCTCGTCTCAGTTGTATATTTTCAGGCACTCGGACGTGGTACAACGCAGGAGCACCCAGCCAGCCGCCAGCCAACCAGCCAGCCAGCCACAGATGAAGAGGAAGGAGCCCATTGCCCAGCTTTGATCCCAAAAGCAGTCAAGCAGAGAAGAGGAGGTAAGATTCACAGTGTATATCTTACAGCCTTTTGTGACCTTGACCTTGCCAAATGATGTTGACCTTATCAATATTTGACCTCTTGACTTGCAATTGACAGGGTGCGCAGCAAGCAGCAGAGCCCAGCCCAGCCCTTCGCAGCCCAGCCCTGGATCCAGCGCAGCCCACTCCAGCCAGCCCATCTCACCAGGAGATCCAGTGCCGCGACCAGGCAGCCTAACAGAGAAGCATTTTGAATTTATTTCTTTCCTTCAGTCTCTTCTCTATCTTCTTAGCACTTTCCTATTCTAACACAACTAACCATTCCCTACCCCTTAACATTGATTTTGTTGTAATTTCCTTGAATTTGTGTGCTTTTGTTTCATTGTTTTGAATTTTTACTAATCTCGTCTCAGTTGTATATTTTCAGGCACTCGGACGTGGTACAACGCAGGAGCACCCAGCCAGCCGCCAGCCAACCAGCCAGCCAGCCACAGATGAAGAGGAAGGAGCCCATTGCCCAGCTTTGATCCCAAAAGCAGTCAAGCAGAGAAGAGGAGGTAAGATTCACAGTGTATATCTTACAGCCTTTTGTGACCTTGACCTTGCCAAATGATGTTGACCGTATGAATATTTGACCTCTTGACTTGCAATTGACAGGGTGCGCAGCAAGCAGCAGAGCCCAGCCCAGCCCTGGATCCAGCGCAGCCCACTCCAGCCAGCTCATCTCACCAGAAGATCCAGTGCCGCGACCAGGCAGCCTAACAGAGAAGCATTTTGAATTTATTTCTTTCCTTCAGTCTCTTCTCTATCTTCTTAGCACTTTCCTATTCTAACACAACTAACCATTCCCTACCCCTTAACATTGATTTTGTTGTAATTTCCTTGAATTTGTGTGCTTTTGTTTCATTGTTTTGAATTTTTACTAATCTCGTCTCAGTTGTATATTTTCAGGCACTCGGACGTGGTACAACGCAGGAGCACCCAGCCAGCCGCCAGCCAACCAGCCAGCCAGCCACAGATGAAGAGGAAGGAGCCCATTGCCCAGCTTTGATCCCAAAAGCAGTCAAGCAGAGAAGAGGAGGTAAGATTCACAGTGTATATCTTACAGCCTTTTGTGACCTTGACCTTGCCAAATGATGTTGACCATATCAATATTTGACCTCTTGACTTGCAATTGACAGGGTGCGCAGCAAGCAGCAGAGCCCAGCCCAGCCCTTCGCAGCCCAGCCCTGGATCCAGCGCAGCCCACTCCAGCCAGCTCATCTCACCAGGAGATCCAGTGCCGCGACCAGGCAGCCTAACAGAGAAGCATTTTGAATTTATTTCTTTCCTTCAGTCTCTTCTCTATCTTCTTAGCACTTTCCTATTCTAACACAACTAACCATTCCCTACCCCTTAACATTGATTTTGTTGTAATTTCCTTGAATTTGTGTGCTTTTGTTTCATTGTTTTGAATTTTTACTAATCTCGTCTCAGTTGTATATTTTCAGGCACTCGGACGTGGTACAACGCAGGAGCACCCAGCCAGCCGCCAGCCAACCAGCCAGCCAGCCACAGATGAAGAGGAAGGAGCCCATTGCCCAGCTTTGATCCCAAAAGCAGTCAAGCAGAGAAGAGGAGGTAAGATTCACAGTGTATATCTTACAGCCTTTTGTGACCTTGACCTTGCCAAATGATGTTGACCGTATGAATATTTGACCTCTTGACTTGCAATTGACAGGGTGCGCAGCAAGCAGCAGAGCCCAGCCCAGCCCTTCGCAGCCCAGCCCTGGATCCAGCGCAGCCCACTCCAGCCAGCCCATCTCACCAGGAGATCCAGTGCCGCGACCAGGCAGCCTAACAGAGAAGCATTTTGAATTTATTTCTTTCCTTCAGTCTCTTCTCTATCTTCTTAGCACTTTCCTATTCTAACACAACTAACCATTCCCTACCCCTTAACATTGATTTTGTTGTAATTTCCTTGAATTTGTGTGCTTTTGTTTCATTGTTTTGAATTTTTACTAATCTCGTCTCAGTTGTATATTTTCAGGCACTCGGACGTGGTACAACGCAGGAGCACCCAGCCAGCCGCCAGCCAACCAGCCAACCAGCCAGCCAGCCACAGATGAAGAGGAAGGAGCCCATTGCCCAGCTTTGATCCCAAAAGCAGTCAAGCAGAGAAGAGGAGGTAAGATTCACAGTGTATATCTTACAGCCTTTTGTGACCTTGACCTTGCCAAATGATGTTGACCGTATGAATATTTGACCTCTTGACTTGCAATTGACAGGGTGCGCAGCAAGCAGCAGAGCCCAGCCCAGCCCTTCGCAGCCCAGCCCTGGATCCAGCGCAGCCCACTCCAGCCAGCCCATCTCACCAGGAGATCCAGTGCCGCGACCAGGCAGCCTAACAGAGAAGCATTTTGAATTTATTTCTTTCCTTCAGTCTCTTCTCTATCTTCTTAGCACTTTCCTATTCTAACACAACTAACCATTCCCTACCCCTTAACATTGATTTTGTTGTAATTTCCTTGAATTTGTGTGCTTTTGTTTCATTGTTTTGAATTTTTACTAATCTCGTCTCAGTTGTATATTTTCAGGCACTCGGACGTGGTACAACGCAGGAGCACCCAGCCAGCCGCCAGCCAACCAGCCAGCCAGCCACAGATGAAGAGGAAGGAGCCCATTGCCCAGCTTTGATCCCAAAAGCAGTCAAGCAGAGAAGAGGAGGTAAGATTCACAGTGTATATCTTACAGCCTTTTGTGACCTTGACCTTGCCAAATGATGTTGACCGTATCAATATTTGACCTCTTGACTTGCAATTGACAGGGTGCGCAGCAAGCAGCAGAGCCCAGCCCAGCCCTTCGCAGCCCAGCCCTGGATCCAGCGCAGCCCACTCCAGCCAGCCCATCTCACCAGGAGATCCAGTGCCGCGACCAGGCAGCCTAACAGAGAAGCATTTTGAATTTATTTCTTTCCTTCAGTCTCTTCTCTATCTTCTTAGCACTTTCCTATTCTAACACAACTAACCATTCCCTACCCCTTAACATTGATTTTGTTGTAATTTCCTTGAATTTGTGTGCTTTTGTTTCATTGTTTTGAATTTTTACTAATCTCGTCTCAGTTGTATATTTTCAGGCACTCGGACGTGGTACAACGCAGGAGCACCCAGCCAGCCGCCAGCCAACCAGCCAGCCAGCCACAGATGAAGAGGAAGGAGCCCATTGCCCAGCTTTGATCCCAAAAGCAGTCAAGCAGAGAAGAGGAGGTAAGATTCACAGTGTATATCTTACAGCCTTTTGTGACCTTGACCTTGCCAAATGATGTTGACCGTATGAATATTTGACCTCTTGACTTGCAATTGACAGGGTGCGCAGCAAGCAGCAGAGCCCAGCCCAGCCCTTCGCAGCCCAGCCCTGGATCCAGCGCAGCCCACTCCAGCCAGCCCATCTCACCAGGAGATCCAGTGCCGCGACCAGGCAGCCTAACAGAGAAGCATTTTGAATTTATTTCTTTCCTTCAGTCTCTTCTCTATCTTCTTAGCACTTTCCTATTCTAACACAACTAACCATTCCCTACCCCTTAACATTGATTTTGTTGTAATTTCCTTGAATTTGTGTGCTTTTGTTTCATTGTTTTGAATTTTTACTAATCTCGTCTCAGTTGTATATTTTCAGGCACTCGGACGTGGTACAACGCAGGAGCACCCAGCCAGCCGCCAGCCAACCAGCCAGCCAGCCACAGATGAAGAGGAAGGAGCCCATTGCCCAGCTTTGATCCCAAAAGCAGTCAAGCAGAGAAGAGGAGGTAAGATTCACAGTGTATATCTTACAGCCTTTTGTGACCTTGACCTTGCCAAATGATGTTGACCATATCAATATTTGACCTTTTGACTTGCAATTGACAGGGTGCGCAGCAAGCAGCAGAGCCCAGCCCAGCCCTTCGCAGCCCAGCCCTGGATCCAGCGCAGCCCACTCCAGCCAGCTCATCTCACCAGGAGATCCAGTGCCGCGACCAGGCAGCCTAACAGAGAAGCATTTTGAATTTATTTCTTTCCTTCAGTCTCTTCTCTATCTTCTTAGCACTTTCCTATTCTAACACAACTAACCATTCCCTACCCCTTAACATTGATTTTGTTGTAATTTCCTTGAATTTGTGTGCTTTTGTTTCATTGTTTTGAATTTTTACTAATCTCGTCTCAGTTGTATATTTTCAGGCACTCGGACGTGGTACAACGCAGGAGCACCCAGCCAGCCGCCAGCCAACCAGCCAGCCAGCCACAGATGAAGAGGAAGGAGCCCATTGCCCAGCTTTGATCCCAAAAGCAGTCAAGCAGAGAAGAGGAGGTAAGATTCACAGTGTATATCTTACAGCCTTTTGTGACCTTGACCTTGCCAAATGATGTTGACCGTATCAATATTTGACCTCTTGACTTGCAATTGACAGGGTGCGCAGCAAGCAGCAGAGCCCAGCCCAGCCCTTCGCAGCCCAGCCCTGGATCCAGCGCAGCCCACTCCAGCCAGCCCATCTCACCAGGAGATCCAGTGCCGCGACCAGGCAGCCTAACAGAGAAGCATTTTGAATTTATTTCTTTCCTTCAGTCTCTTCTCTATCTTCTTAGCACTTTCCTATTCTAACACAACTAACCATTCCCTACCCCTTAACATTGATTTTGTTGTAATTTCCTTGAATTTGTGTGCTTTTGTTTCATTGTTTTGAATTTTTACTAATCTCGTCTCAGTTGTATATTTTCAGGCACTCGGACGTGGTACAACGCAGGAGCACCCAGCCAGCCGCCAGCCAACCAGCCAGCCAGCCACAGATGAAGAGGAAGGAGCCCATTGCCCAGCTTTGATCCCAAAAGCAGTCAAGCAGAGAAGAGGAGGTAAGATTCACAGTGTATATCTTACAGCCTTTTGTGACCTTGACCTTGCCAAATGATGTTGACCGTATCAATATTTGACCTCTTGACTTGCAATTGACAGGGTGCGCAGCAAGCAGCAGAGCCCAGCCCAGCCCTTCAGCAGCCCAGCCCTGGATCCAGCGCAGCCCACTCCAGCCAGCCCATCTCACCAGGAGATCCAGTGCCGCGACCAGGCAGCCTAACAGAGAAGCATTTTGAATTTATTTCTTTCCTTCAGTCTCTTCTCTATCTTCTTAGCACTTTCCTATTCTAACACAACTAACCATTCCCTACCCCTTAACATTGATTTTGTTGTAATTTCCTTGAATTTGTGTGCTTTTGTTTCATTGTTTTGAATTTTTACTAATCTCGTCTCAGTTGTATATTTTCAGGCACTCGGACGTGGTACAACGCAGGAGCACCCAGCCAGCCGCCAGCCAACCAGCCAGCCAGCCACAGATGAAGAGGAAGGAGCCCATTGCCCAGCTTTGATCCCAAAAGCAGTCAAGCAGAGAAGAGGAGGTAAGATTCACAGTGTATATCTTACAGCCTTTTGTGACCTTGACCTTGCCAAATGATGTTGACCGTATCAATATTTGACCTCTTGACTTGCAATTGACAGGGTGCGCAGCAAGCAGCAGAGCCCAGCCAAGCCCTTCGCAGCCCAGCCCTGGATCCAGCGCAGCCCACTCCAGCCAGCCCACTCCAGCCAGCCCATCTCACCAGGAGATCCAGTGCCGCGACCAGGCAGCCTAACAGAGAAGCATTTTGAATTTATTTCTTTCCTTCAGTCTCTTCTCTATCTTCTTAGCACTTTCCTATTCTAACACAACTAACCATTCCCTACCCCTTAACATTGATTTTGTTGTAATTTCCTTGAATTTGTGTGCTTTTGTTTCATTGTTTTGAATTTTTACTAATCTCGTCTCAGTTGTATATTTTCAGGCACTCGGACGTGGTACAACGCAGGAGCACCCAGCCAGCCGCCAGCCAACCAGCCAGCCAGCCACAGATGAAGAGGAAGGAGCCCATTGCCCAGCTTTGATCCCAAAAGCAGTCAAGCAGAGAAGAGGAGGTAAGATTCACAGTGTATATCTTACAGCCTTTTGTGACCTTGACCTTGCCAAATGATGTTGACCGTATCAATATTTGACCTCTTGACTTGCAATTGACAGGGTGCGCAGCAAGCAGCAGAGCCCAGCCAAGCCCTTCGCAGCCCAGCCCTGGATCCAGCGCAGCCCACTCCAGCCAGCCCATCTCACCAGGAGATCCAGTGCCGCGACCAGGCAGCCTAACAGAGAAGCATTTTGAATTTATTTCTTTCCTTCAGTCTCTTCTCTATCTTCTTAGCACTTTCCTATTCTAACACAACTAACCATTCCCTACCCCTTAACATTGATTTTGTTGTAATTTCCTTGAATTTGTGTGCTTTTGTTTCATTGTTTTGAATTTTTACTAATCTCGTCTCAGTTGTATATTTTCAGGCACTCGGACGTGGTACAACGCAGGAGCACCCAGCCAGCCGCCAGCCAACCAGCCAGCCAGCCACAGATGAAGAGGAAGGAGCCCATTGCCCAGCTTTGATCCCAAAAGCAGTCAAGCAGAGAAGAGGAGGTAAGATTCACAGTGTATATCTTACAGCCTTTTGTGACCTTGACCTTGCCAAATGATGTTGACCGTATCAATATTTGACCTCTTGACTTGCAATTGACAGGGTGCGCAGCAAGCAGCAGAGCCCAGCCCAGCCCTTCGCAGCCCAGCCCTGGATCCAGCGCAGCCCACTCCAGCCAGCCCATCTCACCAGGAGATCCAGTGCCGCGACCAGGCAGCCTAACAGAGAAGCATTTTGAATTTATTTCTTTCCTTCAGTCTCTTCTCTATCTTCTTAGCACTTTCCTATTCTAACACAACTAACCATTCCCTACCCCTTAACATTGATTTTGTTGTAATTTCCTTGAATTTGTGTGCTTTTGTTTCATTGTTTTGAATTTTTACTAATCTCGTCTCAGTTGTATATTTTCAGGCACTCGGACGTGGTACAACGCAGGAGCACCCAGCCAGCCGCCAGCCAACCAGCCAGCCAGCCACAGATGAAGAGGAAGGAGCCCATTGCCCAGCTTTGATCCCAAAAGCAGTCAAGCAGAGAAGAGGAGGTAAGATTCACAGTGTATATCTTACAGCCTTTTGTGACCTTGACCTTGCCAAATGATGTTGACCGTATGAATATTTGACCTCTTGACTTGCAATTGACAGGGTGCGCAGCAAGCAGCAGAGCCCAGCCCAGCCCTTCGCAGCCCAGCCCTGGATCCAGCGCAGCCCACTCCAGCCAGCCCATCTCACCAGGAGATCCAGTGCCGCGACCAGGCAGCCTAACAGAGAAGCATTTTGAATTTATTTCTTTCCTTCAGTCTCTTCTCTATCTTCTTAGCACTTTCCTATTCTAACACAACTAACCATTCCCTACCCCTTAACATTGATTTTGTTGTAATTTCCTTGAATTTGTGTGCTTTTGTTTCATTGTTTTGAATTTTTACTAATCTCGTCTCAGTTGTATATTTTCAGGCACTCGGACGTGGTACAACGCAGGAGCACCCAGCCAGCCGCCAGCCAACCAGCCAGCCAGCCACAGATGAAGAGGAAGGAGCCCATTGCCCAGCTTTGATCCCAAAAGCAGTCAAGCAGAGAAGAGGAGGTAAGATTCACAGTGTATATCTTACAGCCTTTTGTGACCTTGACCTTGCCAAATGATGTTGACCGTATCAATATTTGACCTCTTGACTTGCAATTGACAGGGTGCGCAGCAAGCAGCAGAGCCCAGCCCAGCCCTTCGCAGCCCAGCCCTGGATCCAGCGCAGCCCACTCCAGCCAGCCCATCTCACCAGGAGATCCAGTGCCGCGACCAGGCAGCCTAACAGAGAAGCATTTTGAATTTATTTCTTTCCTTCAGTCTCTTCTCTATCTTCTTAGCACTTTCCTATTCTAACACAACTAACCATTCCCTACCCCTTAACATTGATTTTGTTGTAATTTCCTTGAATTTGTGTGCTTTTGTTTCATTGTTTTGAATTTTTACTAATCTCGTCTCAGTTGTATATTTTCAGGCACTCGGACGTGGTACAACGCAGGAGCACCCAGCCAGCCGCCAGCCAACCAGCCAGCCAGCCACAGATGAAGAGGAAGGAGCCCATTGCCCAGCTTTGATCCCAAAAGCAGTCAAGCAGAGAAGAGGAGGTAAGATTCACAGTGTATATCTTACAGCCTTTTGTGACCTTGACCTTGCCAAATGATGTTGACCGTATCAATATTTGACCTCTTGACTTGCAATTGACAGGGTGCGCAGCAAGCAGCAGAGCCCAGCCCAGCCCTTCGCAGCCCAGCCCTGGATCCAGCGCAGCCCACTCCAGCCAGCTCATCTCACCAGGAGATCCAGTGCCGCGACCAGGCAGCCTAACAGAGAAGCATTTTGAATTTATTTCTTTCCTTCAGTCTCTTCTCTATCTTCTTAGCACTTTCCTATTCTAACACAACTAACCATTCCCTACCCCTTAACATTGATTTTGTTGTAATTTCCTTGAATTTGTGTGCTTTTGTTTCATTGTTTTGAATGTTTACTAATCTCGTCTCAGTTGTATATTTTCAGGCACTCGGACGTGGTACAACGCAGGAGCACCCAGCCAGCCGCCAGCCAACCAGCCAGCCAGCCACAGATGAAGAGGAAGGAGCCCATTGCCCAGCTTTGATCCCAAAAGCAGTCAAGCAGAGAAGAGGAGGTAAGATTCACAGTGTATATCTTACAGCCTTTTGTGACCTTGACCTTGCCAAATGATGTTGACCGTATGAATATTTGACCTTTTGACTTGCAATTGACAGGGTGCGCAGCAAGCAGCAGAGCCCAGCCCAGCCCTTCACAGCCCAGCCCTGGATCCAGCGCAGCCCACTCCAGCCAGCTCATCTCACCAGGAGATCCAGTGCCGCGACCAGGCAGCCTAACAGAGAAGCATTTTGAATTTATTTCTTTCCTTCAGTCTCTTCTCTATCTTCTTAGCACTTTCCTATTCTAACACAACTAACCATTCCCTACCCCTTAACATTGATTTTGTTGTAATTTCCTTGAATTTGTGTGCTTTTGTTTCATTGTTTTGAATTTTTACTAATCTCGTCTCAGTTGTATATTTTCAGGCACTCGGACGTGGTACAACGCAGGAGCACCCAGCCAGCCGCCAGCCAACCAGCCAGCCAGCCACAGATGAAGAGGAAGGAGCCCATTGCCCAGCTTTGATTTCAAAAGCAGTCAAGTAGAGAAGAGGAGGTAAGATTCACAGTGTATATCTTACAGCCTTTTGTGACCTTGACCTTGCTAAATGATGTTGACCGTATCAATATTTGACCTCTTGACTTGCAATTGACAGGGTGCGCAGCAAGCAGCAGAGCCCAGCCTAGCCCTTCGCAGCCCAGCCCCAGATCCAGCGCAGCCCACACCAGCCAGCCCATCCCACCAGGAGATCCAGTGCCGCGACCAGGCAGCCTAACAGAGAAGCATTTTGAATTTATTTCTTTCCTTCTGTCTCTTCTCTATCTTCTTAGCACTTTCCTATTCTAACACAACTAACCATCCCCTACCCCTTAACATTGATTTTGTTGTAATTTCCTTGAATTTGTGTGCTTTTGTTTCATTGTTTTGAATTTTTACTAATCTCGTCTCAGTTGTATATTTTCAGGCACTCGGACGTGGTACAATGCAGGAGCACCCAGCCAGCCGCCAGCCAACCAGCCAGCCAGCCACAGATGAAGAGGAAGGAGCTTTTTGCCAAGTTTTGTCTAGCGGCTTACATTTGCCAAGGCGGTGAGTTATGGGCTGCTTTTGTAACACATCTGGATCCCAGTTTTGCATTATAACTTGATCAGAGCAGCTATTGTTTTTCTTTGACCTCCTGATTTTCTGTGTTTTCAGGAACGTCGACCCATTGAGATGTTCAGCAGTATTCTGGGGAACAAGGATCGACTGCAACCACACAGCATGAAGGGATGAGGAGGTAAGATTCACACTGTATATCTTGCAGCCTTTCGTGATCTTTACTTTTCCATATGATTTGATCAGCATTTGACCTCTTGACTTTTAATTAACAGGATGTCCAGCTAGCGGCAGAGCCCACCTGAGCCCAGCCCAGCAGAGGATCCAGTGATCTAACACCTTTAACTAACCACTTTAACAAACTCCCAACAAATAACTCTAACCATCTTCCAACAAATAACTCTAACAAACTTCCAACATATAACTCTATCAAACTTCCAACAAATCATCCTAACAAACTTCCAACAAATCATCGTAACCAACCAGTAACATATCATCCTAACAAACTAAAACTACTAACAGTCTGCTTAATGTTGTGTGATGCGTCTAGTGTGTTGGTGTTAGTGTCTGGGTGCTTGTCACCTCTCGCTTTCAGCCATCACCGCTGGCTAGCAGCAATGCGAAAAGGGAAGGAATTTTTATGTCTTCCCCTGCCAGTACATAGCCTCTCCACAACAAGTCCTATGCGATGCCTCCACGTGGAAGCAGACGGATACTGGGCAGCTTTTAGTCCCAGGCTAAGTTCGCAAGGGCGCACAGTAAGATGAATCTTGATAGCCTTTACTGGTATCTATGTAGGAGAGAAAACTGATCACAACCCTAATTTAGTAGGGGACTCAATTGATATAAGTGTTGGCTATTTATCCCTATTGAAATAGAAGAGAACCTTTGTCCATTGTCTGTAGGATCAATGTCAATGAATAGTCAACTATATTGTTTGAATAATGCAATCCAATGTTCGACTAAGGAAAATTCATATTTTGACAGCTCGTTGTCGTCTTTGTTGTAAACTTTCCCATTTATATCTTGAGAACTATTGGGCCAAAGTCAGACAAACTTGGCACAGAGTATCTTTGGGTAAATGGAATTAAAGTTTATAAATGATGGCCCACGCCCTCTTCCAAGGGAAGATTATTACATAAGTGTAAAATAATGATATCATTTAAAAAAAATCTGAAGATTTCAAAATCCTTTCAAGAACCACTGAGACAGTAAAGGTTACACTGATGTGAAATCATCCTCAGTGACCCCTAGCGGAGAGATTCTGTAATTTGATCATTGCCTTTAGAGATACAGAAGAAGCCACACGTTTTTATCATTCGATTGTTAGGGAAGTAATTTAAGAAGATAAAGAAGAACGCTTAGGAAGGTAAATATAATGGTTTATGAGAATTTTGAACATGATGTGTTCAATTATTAATTAGAGTATTGGAAAATGGATTTGTAAATCCAACTTTTCATGAGTTGAAAAGATTATATAATTGTTTGTATTCTCGGGGAGAATACATTTGAGAGAACATGAGTTGTTCAAATATCCCATGAGGTGGGATTTAGTCATTTTGAAAATCAGAGAGAGAATATGCATTTAACTGATTTTGTATTCCCGTGATGTGGGATCGTATTAAATGATGAATGAATAAGAAAATTACTAGTATGTAACGGTAAAGATAAAGTGTGTACTGTGAAGTGGGTTTGTTTCTAGTGTGATGTACATGCATAAAAAACTTAAAGTTTAAAAGAGAATTTGTAAAAGTTGTACATATTATTATAGATGCCACCCGCAGTTACGACGCTGAAAAGGAAACATTCTTTGAAGGGGAAGAGTATCCCCCGGTGATAAAGAGAACCAGGCTAAATGAAGTATCAGGTTCCGCAGCCAGGATGGCCACACAAGTGAGGTCAGAAGACCTGGACACTGACGAGATAATTACTCAATTCCGTCAGATCACAGGGGAGAGCGCCGCTGATTGTTTAGAGATGGCTGGAAAAGTGGTGACCAAGAAAAATCTTATCTGCTTGCTTCACCATGCAATTGTCTATGCAAACGAAGTAGGGCAACCTGGGGAGCCACTAAATGAGACGATGGTAAGCAATTTTCACACTAGGGGGTCGACTGTTGATAACTGGCAATTTGTATTCCGGAGAAATGAAGTTTACCTACTGGGTTCTATATTTATATCATTATTTCGGAAATAATACAGCTTTGTTATTATGTTTAAGTTGGGATTTCCGGTGATTATTTTTAGCAACCAGAGAGAGTTGAAAATGAAGGTGATAATCAGACGGCCTCAAAACCAACTAATCAGGAGGAAGCTGGAAAGAAAGCAAGCAAAGAAAAGACAGAAGATGAGATTCTTTCAAGGATCGCGGTACTGGAAAAGGCTACAGAAAGTGTGGAAAGCCTCAAAGAGAAGGTACGAGGACTTGCGCTACAGAAGTCGCCAAATGAGGCGATGATCTTATTATTACTGGAGGAGTTAGCAAATGTTGCAAGAAAAAAGCAACACGAAGAGTCAAGTGCATGTTTTTGAAGAATTGTCTAGACAAGCTCTCAAACATCAGGGGTCTGTAAATTTGTCATCATTAGTGTTTGAATGTAGTTGGGGGGTCGTCAGATGTTGTTATTAAGGCTCTAAACAAATGTGCAAAAGAGAAAAAGGTTGAATCTAAGTTAAAAATACCAGAAAAAACAGAAACTGAAAATACTCATCAATCACCTTTGGCAAATGTGTACAATCCGTTTTTGATGCCACAGCAGTCGTATCAATATGTACGGGTGGGGGAACTTATTATGTGGGATCAAAAATATACCTAGGAACTTCAGGGGCATAACCAGGGTACTTTTGATGTGGACGCCTGTTTGGGGGTCCAGTGGGTCTAGGGCGAAGCCCCCGGAAGCTGGTGAAGTTTAAAGATTTGACCCATTTGATAAAGGTTTTCTCGCACTTTTTAAGTTTCTTATGAAGCCACATTTGAAGTATGTTCTTTCCTTGTGCAAAATAAGGACAGATACTCAAAAATGAGAAAGGATGTGTCTAAAAGCGTTGTTTGACGAACCCATTTAACCAATTTTAGACTTTTGAACGTATGGTAACATACAATAGTTGGTAAGAGGGGTTGACTGGTGTAGACAGACCACAGAATTGACTGATAGTCAGGCTTGCATTAATTAATGTTAAAAATACACGTCTAAAGATCGAAAATTTCAAAGACAGAAGAATTCTTTTCGACTCAATTTCTTACACATTACCTATGTGCATTGTACATGTTGTATACATGTTAAATGAATGTTCATAAATATTCATAAATCGGGTATCTTTAACTTTTTTTAACAATTATAAAAACATTATGCACTATTGGTTAAGGTAGTGTAACGGAAGTCAATACTTGAACAGTTCTAATTATTATTTTTTTAAGGTAAAACTTAATTTTACCAATTTTTCAATTTTTATGTTCATATAAAGCTGAATTATGATTTTTAAAGTCTCGCATGAAACCGGTATAATGTTTTGGGTTTTTTTGGGGGGGAGGGGGGGCGGGGGGGCTCGGTACAGAAGTTAAAAGCATTACGGTTGGAAGATTATTTCCAGTAATACAAAAATTGAAATTCTTGGTATTGTATAAAATTGTCGTTGGTTTTAAGGAAACCGACTGGGGTTTAATTGTGTGAAATCTACAAAAGAGAAACTCTTTAAAAATGTAATTACACCCGGGGAAAACTCAGCAATATTCGATAGTAAAACAAAATCTGGGAAAATCTTTTGAATACTGAGGTGTATACTATCATTTTTCTTTTCCCCCAAAACTGATTCTGTTCATTTTCAATTATTATTTTTATCGTTAATTCTAAATTGTTTCTAAGTATTTTTTTTTCATATTTAAAAATATAAATTATTCACATGTATTTTGCAAAAATAATCAGTATGCATTACAATATTCCCCCTCTCTCTCTTTTTCTTCATGTTCTTTCTTTTCTTTTCCTTTTTTTTTTTTTTTTTGGAAAATGATGTGGACGTTTGTGGGTACAAGCGTACGCCTGGGTATGCGCCTGAATTTATATGTGAAATCTTTCTTTATTAATTTCAAGAACAACAAAAGCCACAATGATATGGAATCATCCTTGGGTAGTGATCCCAGTTTGTTCAAATCATGACCCCCAGGGGTACATGTAGGTTAGGGTCATAATGGATGATAAAAAATTTATGTTGGTCAATATATAGGAAAAATCATTTTAAAAATTCTCTCTAAAACATTCTCAGGTAGTGTAGTCATTTAAAGACAGATGATACAAACTTGTATTAAAAAAATCCTTAAAATATAATTAATATATAATAGCCACAATGGCTGATGATCAAAGTTTTACATGGAAATACTCGTACATGTATAAAGAAAAATTCTTTTAAAATCTTTTCAAGAATAGCAAAGCAATGATTAGTGATATTTATATAAAACAACTGTTTGTGTAGAGTCAATTTTTTTAAAATCATAACCCCTGTGTGACCACAAATGGTGATCAAAGTTTTGCATAAGAAACTAGTCATAATATTTACATGTGAGCATCCTCATGAATAAAGATTTCAGGTCTGTTCAAATCATGACTTTTTGGGTAAGGGAGGGGTTACAATTAGGGAATCAAATTTCTACAAACAAATAGAAAGAGAACCTTTTTAAAAAATTGTTTCTTTTCAAGAACAGCAAAGTTATTAGTTAAATTAATTTGGAGGCATCCCCAAGTAGTACAAAATTCAAACCATCCCCCAACCTCTGGTAAAAGTTTTCAATACTGAACTGATTGATGCTTTTACCTAGATGATGTGCTAAGGTGAGGGATGTAGCCCATGAGCCTCTGGTTTCATTTTTACTTTTAGTCTTAACACACTTGTTTGAATATTTTACCTTTGGTGTTAATAGATCACTGGTGTTAGCTAGGCTGGTATCAATTCCAAAAGGTGTTTTTTTTTCATCTCATTTTATAGGAACTGCATGTGACCTCTCATAATGACTTGTCTCTATTCTACTGTAGAGTTGCAGTGCGATGTAGCCCCTAGTTGCTAGCAATGTTAAGAGAAGACTAGCTCCAACTAAAGGATGGTAAGATACATTCCTTTGGTTACGTTACTGTTTTTTTATTTTAAATTTTGTGGTCTTGTTTCTTTTTTTCATTCTGTGTTGAGAGCTTTCATTCTGTGTTGGGTTACTTGTGTCAATGAATTTATCAATTTTTTACTCAAGCCCTAGAGGGGCTTGAGTTATCTAAAACGATGCTAGGTCATCGAATTACTCAGTTTAAAATTACAAAAATATATTATTTTTGTAGATAAAAATATTTCTAGAGACAAAAATGAAGCTTATCTTGAAAACGTCTGTATATTCAAAGATATTAAGTGTTAAATAGCGGATTATTTTCTATGGCGAATAAACAATGAGTGAAGCGTCGCAGCCGCAACAGTTTCTATACAGAGATTTCACGCTTTCCTTTGCGTATGAATCTCAGGTAACTTTTTACAGTCGCCGACAAAGCATCTTTGGACGAGTCCTCTGCGACTCTGAAAGGTGACGCAGGTTACCTCATCGTTAACAAATTCTACAATGCATGGCCAGAAAATGTATGGCTGTACCCCCCAACTGAAATTGCTTTTCACGGGCCTGCAAATGATGTGTAATTTGAGAGACAGTAAAATAAAAACACAAAATCAATGTTAAATTCTCGTATTAAGATTTGGTACCGGAAATTATATACTTCTTTTGGTTCGTACCGAATATGCATTGGACATGCCGCTCAGATAGATGAACCCCATCGTCTCAAGCCACGGTCCGCAGTAGGAGAGGATCGTACATTTTGTCCGTGGTTTGCAACGATGGATGAACCCGTAGTCACGTGGATTTTTTAGAGCCTGGAGCCCCCCCCCCCCTTTTTACTTTGAAAAACTTTTCTACAGGCTTTTAGCAAGCTATCTTAATTGATGTATTTATTGAATGAGATGTACGTCATTAAGCAAAAAATACAAAAACGTATATAGTTTGAAGTACATGTATACTAAATGTCTACATAAAATATTTCAGTTCGGAAACATTACTATGCTCTATAAAATATTCCTGAAAGTGTGTCACGTAAATTCATCTTAAAAAGTAATTAAGTAAGATTAATAATGTTTTTTTTTCTAATAAAATTCAATATATGAATGTTGTTTCATGTATACAGTCATGTAGTTTATTCAACAGAGGACTGAACTAAATATATAGCCCTCATCTTAAAACAATTTTAGGATATAATGATACTTCCTATTTGACTTTCTACAGCTTGAGTATTTCTGACGTTTTGTCAGTATATACTTGTTTTATAAGATGTCGAAAAGAGCATTAATTACAGTCTTACAGAATTTGATGAATTTAGCAACTGTAAAGTAAATGTAAAATGTAACACTAAAGTATGTTGACCCTTACTGTATAGTGAAATGAGTAGCTATAACAGTCATACAGGAACATGGGCCTATAATTCAGTTTACCTTCAAATGAGTTATATTCATAACCTTATATTGGAGGGACTTTAGCACTGACCTGCTTTAAACACAAAAATACCATATTTCAATGTAAAAAAAAATCATCGTAGAATTTGACCAAAATTTAACTATTTTAAAAAAATGATTTATGGACAGTTATATACAAAGGTGAAAAACCTGGAAATGGCAAGACCAATGTATGTGGATCCTTCAAGATGTAGAAATGTTCAGCAACAGCAAGACATTAATTCATTGAATTGAAACGAGGGAAAAGGCAATGGATGTGGACCCTTTAAGATGTGGAAATGAGCATGCAGCTACAGCTCGAAATGAATTTGTTAAAATGATGGATGGAAAAATGGGGAAGAGGTAAACCTGGATGTAAACATAGATGTTGACCCTCAAGATTTGGAAATGAGAGATACAACTAGGCATAAATTTATAGAAACAACTGGAAGACAAGACCGATGGACATTAACCTATCTAACAGCAAGACTTACCACAGTGGACAACACTCAATGATCAGGGTTCATATGCATAAAAATTCTAGGAATTTTTCATAAGTCTTATACTTATTCCCAAATCAAATTGCTTAACTAAGAAACATACTTTTAGTTTCATGCATAAAAATTCTAATTGCCTTACTTAGTGCATCTTACCAAAGCATATCACTTCTTGCTTAAAATAAAACGTCACAATGGTGTGACGTCATTGCGGGTTTTGACGATATTGAATCTCCCGTTCTACGTCATCATCATCGTCTGAATATGGCAGAGAAAAAACGTAAACCGAATTGGACAATGGAAGAATGTTTACATCTAACACATTTATTTAACGATAATAAGAAAATTTTGAGGGCTAAATTCGGCGCCGGAGTGACCACTCAAAAGAAGAGGGAAGTATGGAAAAATATTACTGAAGCAATTAATGCAGCCAACCCTTCAACCGTCCGGACTATAGAAGAAGTCGAAAAGAAGTGGCATAACATCCACATGAAGGGGAGGGGAGAAATATCTGATTTTAGAAGAAGTTTGCAAAAAACAGGTTCGTGAAATGCTTGGTATGCTTGCAATGTCAGCCATGATGTTTACCGTACCTAAGATACAAGTGATATAAGGGTGATAACTCTATTGTCGGTATTGAGGCATAATAACGGGATGTAAGCAGTAGATTAGATCTAACTGAAATTCTAAATTAGATATTCCAAGTCAAGAAACTCATAATGTATACAAAATTTATTTTATAAAGTACCAAAGTTACATGTATAAGACTGTACCATAGGACTTTTGGGTCGTTTAAATTCGAATGACAGGTGTCAAAAACTGAAAGAGTAGACTGTGTAAAATTTGGAAATTATTTTAGCACGGAAAGTTTACGGAAATGCGGACGACCATGGTAATCATGAAGATTGTTTATTTTGATTTATTAGTATATTATATGCATTTAAGTGTCACTCTGTGTACCCTAATGGCCGGTGCGAGAATATATCCATACCTTTATTTTTATACCCCCCCTCCCCCTCCCAACAATTTCACTTACCGAAAATACTTTACATAATCTAATAAATAGTTGATGTTAAATCCTCTCGCATACTCGCTACATTTACATTGGATCTAACATCTACTTTTAATTAGATTGTGCACACCGCGAAGAACTTTTTCCAAACAAATGCGTAGATCTATGTAATAATGATTTGTTCAGAAACAACAAAAATCCATATACTATAGTGAATTACAATCAGCTCGAAAATTAGCAAGCCATAGTGAAAAAAAAAATACTATCTCAGCTAAAGTGATCCCCAGTATTTTTTGATAAAGAAAATGTAACTTTTTTATATAGTTACATGAAATAATGGATATATCTTTTTGAAAGCAACGAAAAACAATTTTTAAATAAAAATAAAATGCTTCAATTTACATAGGTGGAGGACCGGCAGAGAAACCATTAAGTGCATTGTCACAAGCTGTTGAGGAGGTAATTGGTGAGGAAAATGTTTCTATCTGCGGAATATCTGGGGCCTTTGATTCCTCTTTGATGACGTTTAACAATTTCAACAGGGGCATGGAAGACATTCCATCGAGTTCACTGCAAGGGTAAGGCTTTCTTAAGTGTCAGTCAACTGTCACGTCGTTGTCTTTGCTGTCTTGCAGCCATTTTGCTGTGGTAAGCAAAATGCTTAAAAACTTTAGACAAGGTGAAGGGTTGTTTAACTTTAAGCATATTCTAAGACATATAAGTAAGAATAAGAAACATCATGCAATCCACTTACAACGTAAAGTGACGTACTAAGTAAAAAACGTCACTCTGCTTAAGGTAAATCGGCACTTGAGAATATGCTTAGCAGAATAAGAATTTTTATGCATATGAATCCAGGTATGTAACATAATATGATAAATGATTCAAAATCTTTTTTCCTCCAAATCAACTAATCTGATCCTTGATCTTTATTATATACTGTACACGTTCACATGGAAATTAATGCCCCCCCCTTTATTTTAGCCTCTTTAGCCCTGCAAGTGTCTAGACTGCTGTATGTAGATGCTTCAAGATGTGGAAAGGAGCTAATACAGCAAGATAGGAATCAGTGGAAAAATCAGGGAAAAATAAACCTGATAGATGTTGACCCTCCAAAATGCATGTCAGAGATACAACTAGACATACATTTGTGGAGACAGCTGGAAGACAAGTCTGATGGACCTTGACCTTTCCAACAGCAAGACTTACCACAGTGAACAACTGTCAATGATCAGGTATGTGACATAATAAATGCTTTTTTTTGCTGAAAAACAACAACAAATGAATATCTGATCCTTGACCTGTATACTAGTAGTACTTTATGCCAAAAAATTTTTTGCCCCTGTTTTAATTTAGCCCTATTTTCCCTAGAAGCGGGTGAATTTAGAACAGGGTGAATCAAATTTTAAAAAATGTGCATAACTGTGAGCAAATTTACATTGGAACAAATTGTCTATTTAAATCGTTAGAAAATGAAATATTGTATAAGTAGAATTTTTAGCAAGGATTTAATTTTGGCATTATAAGCGAGGGTGCTGACATCGCTTAAATTGAATATCGCTAAAAATTGATTGCGTATTATATGTAATAGCTTCTTTAGTTAGCATTTTAAAATCGCTAAAATTACTTCTCGCTAAAAATAAAATACCAGATTTTAGGTAGAAATCACTAAATTTGCATCTCGCTAAAATTTCCACTCATACGGTAAGACAGATCAAAAATGACTTTGAATACAGTATTTTACTTAGAAATGTTTCTTTGTGAATTTATGTTTATACCATCATAAATGCTGAAATTTATGAACTACTGTAGATTCCTAATTATACACGTGGAATTAATTATTGTGTAATTTCGCAAGAAGCACCACCCACGAAATAGAATTACTCCCTTTTATTTTTATGTTGTTGAAATTTACATAAAATCAATTGATCAACCGTCCATTCGCTAATTTTTATTCTTGTAAATTGACGATGAAGAGTCAATTCGCGATAATAAGTACTCACTAAAAATAAGGAATCTACAGTATTTTATAGTATGCTTTGGTGATTTGGTAAAAGTACTCATTAAGAGACTGGATCAAGATGATATTATGTTAGTGTACTTGTTATTTTTAGGGCTGGGACGATAGATATATCAAGATATCGATATATCGTGATATATGTGAGGACGATATGCATATCGATACATATTTAGAAATATCGCCCATGAAAATCTGACTTCTATTTTTCTTTGCTCATTTAACATTTGGGGTTTGATATACAAAGTAAATAAGTTCAATATAAATATAGACATGAAATAAATAATAATTAACACCATTTGAGTAAAATATTTTTGTTTTGCAACATATAAACAACTATTTTGAATAAGTTCATCTTATTTGCAAAGAAATAATTTGTTTATTTCAATGCAAAAAAAGATTTTATAAGCAATTAAAAATATCGTGATACATATCGTATCGTGGCTCAAATATTGTGATACGTATCGATATAGAAAAAGTTGTATCGTCCCAGCCCTAGTTATTTTGAATACCTAAGGTACCAGGTATGTGAATGTTTCCTACATATGTCATTTTGTAAGACCCTTTTCTTTGTTTTATTTCATATTGTTCCTTATTTGGTTATTAATAAATAAGCATATTTTTTTTCATTGACAGAAAAGTAAAGTATTGAAGAGGTATATTCATGTGATTGTATTTGTAGAAAGAAAAGAATGCAGAAAACCAGATCTGTGAAGCATACACAAGACTGTTTATGATATGGGTGTCTGAGTTGAGAAGAGGGTATGGGGTCTCCCACTCAGACACATGGATTTTCCTTGGATGCTCCGGTTTCCTCCCACATAGACCTTTTTTTTCTCTAATGTAACTATTAAGACAATTATCTTTGAAGATATTCTAATTTAAATATTTTTTTAATCTAATAATAAAGAATGAGTGCACTTAAGTACGTCATTTGGAACCTTTTCGGCTACCCATTTTAAGCTTAACATTACAATATATCGCTAAATCAATCCATGATTGATGTGCACGCATATGCTCTTGATATTTATTTCTAGAATTTTTTGTCATACATATTTCTTTGATTACAGAAAACTTAATTGAAAAGAACATGTAAAAGCCTTAAATTCCGGAAATTTGAACGGGACCACTTTCGAATCTAAGGTATCCCCAAATAGGCGGAGACTTTTAAACCGCATGGTTGTGGAATGTAAACATAAGCTCATATGATTTTTTCGCATTGCGAATTGAAATGGAGAAGAGAGAGATCGTGTTGATTTCATGGTGCACAATTATTAAATGATTCTAATGTTAAGGGATGGGGTAAATGTCTCGCTTTGCAGACCATAATACAGAGGCGACATAAGCCTAGATACATGTACTTACTAATGACACTGTCAATAACAGAATTCTTTCAAAACACCCCTAATGAAAAACATAAAGATTTAAATAAGAGACATATTATCTTCAAACCCTATTAATATTTGCGCAAAAATCTCCCATAGTTTGAAGTTGGAAGTACGATAGATAATGTCACAACAGAGACTTAAACACAAAGAAATTTTCAATGAAAGCGTTAGCGTATCGAACAGCAGAAGGTCACATGAGAAAGGTGATTATAATATCAATCGTTGTTGCTCAGTGACCAGTTAATTTAGTAGCTATCTCGACCCTAGTTTGGGGACATTTTTTTGAAAATTAGATATGAGCCGCAACTTGGCCAACATTGTCCTTTGGATATGTATAAGTTTAAGTTAAAATACATATTCTGTGCAAATAAGAAAAATGGCCAAATTGCGGCTCGATGTAAACAAAGTCGTTGAAAACTGGAATGCACATGAATAACAATAGAAATGAGACAAAACTGTTAGAACCCCGTCTCAAAAGCTAGTGTCATTCGGCATTATTTAATACTTTCATGTAATATAATATACCAAAACCTGCTCTTAAGACATTGTTTAATACCTATAAAACATAAATTTAATGAATTTTGGAATTTGATTTTGCGCAAAACATCGGGATCCAACTCTCATAGCTTAAGTGCACTCATTCTTGTTGATTTTGCTGTAAAGGTTTTTATGCTGGTATTACAATGTTTTCTGAAACTTAGATGTAATCATTACCGGTATTCAATATTAATTAAATTAATATTTCTGGAATGTACAAATTCTGTCAGCAGTTGTACCAGTTATAATTTGTATAATTAGTAAATTCTGATTATTTACTAATTGTGCACTTTTAAAAATGAATGTATAACTAAATATACAGTTAAAGTAATTGATTTATAATGTGACATATTTGTATTTTTAAAAAATGTAAAATTTGATTTGAAAATTATTTTGTGATTTGTTAATGTTACACTGTGATTTGTTTATGTAAAATTATAAGTGAATGTGGAAAAAAAATGAAAACAAATGAAAAAAATGAAAAGCAAGAGTTAAAAAAAAAGTAAACAAAAACAAAATATTTAACACACACACAAAGATGCAAAAACAAACAAATAAAAAAGAGAAATTGAATGAAAAAAGTATTTTAAAAGGAGAAAAAGAAAAAAAAACACGAAACTTTTAATGCTGCCTGCTTGAATTAACATAATTGCATGTTATTTCAAGCAGAAGGTTCCAAGCCCTTAAAAGCAGAGGAGAAGTTTTGGTACATGTACATCACATTACTGAATGTACATGCACTGCCAATTACCCGGTAATGTAGACACAACTGGCATGAGCTTTTTTATCACCAGAAGATCTTAATTAATTTGGAGTGAACAATGCAATAAATTAAAATTTCATTTATAATTCAGATATCTTCAAATATTTCCATTTCTAATTTTTTTTCTCTGTGATAACTCTTTGAAAGTTAGTCGAAGTTTATTTCTTGATAATTCTGCCGGAATGTAAATTAGGCAGGTCGATAGGTCTGGAGCTAAGGAGGCCTAATACGCATGCAAATCTCGTGCGCATCTGTCTCTGTGTCTGACGCTAAGGAGGCAAAATAGGCATGTAAATCTCGTGCGGCTGCCTTTGTGTTTGACATCAGTGGGCGAAGACTATTGAAATTAGCATGGAAGTCCTCGTGTGATTTAAGTCTATGTCTACATTTTAAAGTCTAAATCTACAATTTTATTTCACAATGAAATGGAAATATTAGGGATCACTGGCTAGTTTTGAGAGTATGCCAGGGACATCAACAATAGTGGGAAACATGCAAATTATCACATGTAATCCACTATTGTTGATTCCTTAAATAATAACTATAGTAGCAGCTTTATTTCTGAAAAAAAAAAATCATTGATTCAAAATAAACACTTTGTATACTAAGAGTAGTTACATGTATACTCTGTATATTCTTGTGAAAAGTCCTTTTTTCAAATTCACATGAAATATGATAAAAACTGAAGCAAAATTGAAAGAAAAGCTTATTCAGAGAATATTTATCCCCCGCTAAAGGGAATAAGAATGTGCTGACCTTGGAATCAGTTTAAGAAGGGCAGGAGGGGCCATAGGGAGTCTTCCCTAGGTCATAAGAAGTTGTGGTATAAAATGTCAAATTGAAATACATGTATCGCCAAATGAAAGTTTTACACACACACACACACACACACA